CTTTTTGTATTCTTTCTTTTGCACTGGATGATATCAACTACTGCGAGATGTGATAGAGAGATTGTGAGCTAGGGGCTGCACAGAGACCGCAGGGAGGTGTAACTGTGAGGGAGCGATTTTGTTTATGTTGTTCTGGAGAACGCTTCTTGCCTGTTTTCTTCTTTGGGAGATTACTTATCAGCTGCTGTTTCATAATTGGAAAGCAGCTATCCATGAGACTTTTATCGCGGGAGCTGTCTTTAAAGACAACACTCGTTGATTGCCAAGTGAAAGAAACCAGGAAATAACGTGACTGACGCTCCCCTCACCACGGAAGTCCGCCAACTTACCATAGAACTTTGAATGAGACCTGGGTAGATCGATAGTCTATAAGGTTATTTACAAATATAGATAGCAAAACTGCAACCTGCATTTCACAAGCAACTTATGAGCAGGTAAAGTTTGTAATGGTGCAGTAGGGTGGAGGCTTGGTGGTGAGCTGTGAAGCATAAGCGAGGAATCGCATACGTCGAATCGAGTCGTCGAACGTCGAACCTTACCACTGAACCACCACGACTCGATTCGACGTATGCGATTCCTCGCTTATGCTTCACAACTCACCACCAAGCCTCCACCCTACTGCACCATATGCAGTTTGCTATCTATATTTGTAAATAACCTTATAGACTCCATCGATCTACCCAGGTCTCCATTCAAAGTTCCATGGTAAGTTGGCGGACTTCCATAATCAGTTCCCGCGGCAGTAGAGCTTCCTGGCCCCGCCCACTCGGGAACCTTTGACAATGCTTTCAAAATTCTACTCCTTTGCATATTTTTTAAGTGTGATTGATCCCATCCGATCCCATCCGTGTAATCCACTAGGATCAAAGCAGGGTTTAGGAAGGCAGTGATCAACATAAGGGTGATCTGTTGTTTCGGGAAACATAACTCACGTACTTTTTCGCTTTGACGCTATTTGGATAGTCCACGACAAGGCCACCATTGAATCCAGCCTTCGTAGCAAGCGACATAATCAGAGCTGACTGGTGCTCGTTCTCTGGGTAGAACTGGAAAACGGCTCGCGTTCCTCTACCCTTAAATGGAAAATTAAATTATTTAGATGAGGTTTCAAGTACTTTCAGTTCATGTGTTTGTTTGTTGCTGCTTCCATTCTGCTCACTTTGATCGAAGTGTTTTAGCAACGCACTTATCTCCATTTCCCTCAAGAAAGGTATGCCCAAATTTCGATATGTTGTTCCAAGTAAGTGCAGAGAACTTAATGACAGTGTGACTGTATCTCACCTAGCTGCACTCCAAGGAGCACCCGCTGCAGTCCCGCTGATCCTCCATCCGTCCCTGCTGCAAACTAGAGTAGTATAGTAAATTCTCTTAGCTCGAGGAACACGAGGCCTATCATTCCTTTCGTGCAGAACTTTCGTGCGGAAACCAGACCATCAGGCAGGCGATTGTCGCGGTATTCGATTGATGTTTCGCGGGATCCAGTCGGTAACCCCTGTAGTATGGCCATCGCAAAGTCGCCTGACGTGACCAGCTCACTTGCTCTTCGATTTCCGAATGGGTTAGCGTCCCAGAGCTTCAACCGATGCAGTTCGGAACTCTGGATTCCGCTCTGCATTGTAGCATCAGGAAACTCCGAACACTGCCTTCTCCGAAGCGCGTTGGACACTGAGCGCATGCTCACCCTGCCTGAGCAAATTCCAGGTCTCTGAGGCGTAGATTAAGGTAAAAAGGAATGCAGAATCAAAGAAGTGTGCACGAAGCCGAGTGTTCTCCGTATTCTGCACTACATGATGCTGCTCCTCGTGTAGCCTGTTTTCTCCTGCTCAGATTTTGTGCATATTTCCCAATCATATTGATTTCGCGACCCAGGTATACATATGTAGTCAGAGCATTCAGAGATGTTCGAGATGTTCGATCCTGTTCGTTCGAGTTAAATCCTCCCAGAAACCCTGCTTGCATGGCTGTCTTTCACCTAGCGTTTTGTTACTCGCGTCAGGATGGCTCCTTCGAAGAGTTTGTAAATTATAGACAGCAGGCAGACTGGGCGACTGATGCCAATGTCGTGCAAGTCTCTGTTCACTTACAGCAACACTGTGCTGCTGGTTGTCCACAAAGTTGGTACCTTGCCCAGTAAGTAGCGCACGAAGTCGAGCCGGCGTTTTGATGACGACTGACAGAACCTTCATATTTTTGGGTCCGATTCTGTCGGGATCGGATGCTGTACGATTCTTCACCAGATTGGTGTGCCAGACTTCGAAAGGACAACTGAAGATTTCCAAAGGTACTTACTTTCACCTTACTGCCATAATCTGGTCTCGCAACCTGAAGCTGTATCTGTGGTCGCGTGAAGGCAAATTTCACACCAGCTGGGAGAAGCAATCTCTCCCTTGTGTGATGTGGACCGATTCGCATCCGCTGAAGCTGTGCGACTTCGGTACGAGACTTAGTGGCAAGCAGAGCACACATTATGGCAATGAGGAAGATTGCCGTTCAGCAGACGCTCTCCGTCACCGCCTCAAGTAGGGCTCCGTTCAACGCAAAAGTCCAACTCCACCCTACCTCCCCACCCTATGACCAGAACTCGTCGATGGGTAGAAGTGGAGACCGTGCACTCCCTTTAAGTCAAATATAACGTCACCCACCGGTCAAATACAAATCAACCCCACAACCTCGACTGGGACTCCTCGAGAATGGCGGGTCATGGGGACAAGGACGACAGGGCTCGAAACTCAGAGCTGCCTACTTCCACGAGACAGAAAGGTGCTCACTGTCAACGTCGCGCGCAATACAGTGGTCTCACACCTTTGGTCACTATTTCGTCTTCAAACGTTTTGCTTATTTCGCCATGTACTCATAGAAAGGTCAAGATCAAACAAAAAGAAACGCCTCATTCCGAGCGTCTTATTCCGAGCGTTTTCAATGGTATCTTTTCCTAACTTTCTCGATGACGTGTTGTCTATGACACATGAGTCCCCGCTTGAACCAAAATACCTACGGAATGCTCCGCATGCTATGTCTGTCCTTTTCTGCCTAAGACTCTGTCAGTGATGTGATAAAAACTAAAGCCAGAGGTGGTGAAGTGAGTAAACATACCAGGCAACCGTACAGCGTTTGAAAGAACCGATGGAGACGTCGCTTGGGATTCTCGTCAGAAGAGTTTGCATGGCATAACCATTGAATTGCCGAGATACTAAACAGTGGAACCTGCACAATTTCTCAAAGCAACACTTGTTCTCTCTTCTTTCTTTCTCGAGCAACAATAATTCGTGATTTCTCAGCGATGAAATGGCTGCATAAAACACTATTTCTCGCCCACAGTTCTCGTTAATTGGCTGTGCAGTCTTGCACGCAGTGAACGCTGGGGCGTGTCAGAGGGAGTCACTGAGTTTGGCACGGCGCCAACACGTTCTGTACCAATTGCTGAAAGGGACAAGCAACAACAATTGGTGGTAAACAGGTTGAGCCTAGCCAGACCCAGCCCCCTGAAACGATTCAGCGTCCGCAGCGAACAAGGACGTATATCCGTACTTCAGGATATTATTCCTCACACATTTTCCAATCACTCTACGCAACAGTAACAGCGGAAACGGAGCGATAATGTCCAGTGACGAACCTGATCGCTCCATCAAAGGCTCCGGGTAAAAACGGCACTCCACTGCCCATATCAGACAGTATAAAATCACCCATATTATCTCTGTCTTCGTCATCTTTACTGGCGATTTCTGGAACGAAACATATTCAAATAGTGAAGCATAGATAAAAGTAAAAAAACTGTACCAAGCATAGGTCTGCTAATATCGAGTCCCACCCAATAATGACCAGCATTTGCCAGCACCCCTCCGCTTATTCCTGTGCCGCATCCTTCAACAAAAGTAATCAATTTCAATGAATACCTTAAAATGGAAGAGGTTAATCAGATTGATGACGTACCAATG